TTTTCTTGAATTCTGTTAGGGTTACTACAAGGTTCTTGGCAAAGGTCTTCTTCCCAAACAACCAGTGATTGTTAAAGCAAAGTTTTTCAGTCGCAGAGCTGAAGAAAAGATCAAGGAAGTTGGAGGCGCTTGTGTCCTTGTGGCATAAAAAATTATGCAACTGTACAAAATAATAAAAGTTTTCTGGTTGGAGTTTCTGTTTCCAGTTCTTGTTAATTCAGATTGAACCTCTGCTAAATTTGCTGTTCTTTGTTTCTTTATTCCTCTCACTAAAAGCTTTTTGCAATAGGGGAATCCTTGTTTACAATATTTGCCTCATTAGCATAAGCAATTCAGTTTCTGATGGAGCTAAAAATAATTCAGTTCTGAATATCAAAAGGTGAAAGTACGATTAACTCGGCCAAAGAATACGAGCCTGATGCATTAAACACTTTTTGTGCAACACAGATTTAAAAACTCAAAATTTTACATAGAATGTATGAGCTCATTAGCGCTTTTCCCACCCAGAAATTTTCCAGTTTTTGATGGACTATTTCTCCTTGAATATTACACCCAAAGAGCTAACAATTTCACCATGTACTAAGGTTTTCTAGCTCTAGCTGCCTGAAGTAAATTTGTATCTAACATGCTTCGTTCTTTACGCAAAGCCTTATGCAAATGAGCAAAAATGTAAACAATGACATCAGCATGAATCTCACTATAGCTCACAGAATGCTATCTCATTCAAGAGATACAAGCTTCTGATTCATTAAGACTAGACCAAAGCATATGAAATTCTCTATCACCAATTCTTACAACAGTACTATGCAAGTATAGTTTGTGATTGATAATCTACAGTCCTGATGTAGAATTATGCATGCAATCACTCATCTACCTTCTTGGGTTCATAGTTCTACATGGTTTCTAGAAGACCTTCAGTGGCCAAGAGAGGGAGACTACTGTCACTAACCACAGTTTGAGCATTTAAGGAAAAAAAGAAGAAAAAACAACCTCTAAGACTTAGCAATTGGACAATTCTAGACAAAGTTGAAGATTTGAATTTATCTTGAGGTTCTTCTTTGTTTTGTTGGCACTCTATTCCTGGTTCTTTGAGTTAAAGCTTCTTTGTTTTCTTTGTTCTTTTTTCTTTTCCCTATATGACAATCCATTTATGTTTGGATTGCGCAATCTAAACCAATCCTCTGTAAAGTTACCCAAAATGCTCTGCTATGGATCACAGAAACATTACCAAATTCCACTTTGATAATGGTGTTGAAAATTTACATCAACTTTATTTATGAAG